TCGGCTCAATGATGTAGACAGCTAAAACGACGTTAAGAATGACGGTAAGCTACTTTTGTTATGCTAAACAAATAGCAGTAACAATGCATAGTTTTTTTTTAAAAAGCAATAATGTGTTCTACTTTGTTAGTATCTCATCCAAAGCATCGTCCCGGTGGTATTGAATATTCAAATTATTGCTCTTGTATCTTGGCAAAGAGAATGGCATTTATACCTTTGCTGTTGGTACAAGTGGCAACTTAAAACAATAATTCAGGGCTCGATTTTTCTTTCCAAAAGGCAAACATCGGTTAAAATTGCGCTATCAACCCCATATTTTAAAATCTTTCATCTAAGGGCAGCTTGCTGGTGCTTGTATTGACTGAAAATTTAACAGTTTGACAACTTTATACAAACTAAGACGATGCCACGTCCAATTATTTGCTAAGCTCACTTAAATTTTAATATCTCTTGGTTTTCCTGTTGATGGGAAAATCGCGTAGATTTAACTGAACTAAATAAGAGTAAGATATCTTCGAGGCACAAAAATCTCTAAACTACTCCTACACTGTTCGCAGGTGATGAGGAGCCGCGAATTAATGTTGTTTCAATCTTTAATCTGGTTTCTGTGCGTCTTTTTCTGCCGCGGTTTATCAAAGTCCCTCCCCGATGCCTGCAAAGGTATGAAATTTAATATGATCTGTATAATTATCCTTGTAATGAGTATTTTTAAAACATATCGCTAACGGCTTAAAAGCACTATTGTCTGCCTGTTGATTTCCAGCATGTACGCCTGTAATTCGTTTAATCGATTCTACTGTATCTGAGCGTTGGCGAAAATAAATATCTTAGTGATAAACTGATAACGAAGGATTTGGAAAAACATTTCAGGATAAAGAGCCTCAGCGATATTAAACTGACACGACGTTTCGGCGACGACATGTCACATTTATCAAATGTAAATTATTAATTGTAAGTTCAGTAACTTTACTGGAGTAACAATAATTTACATTTGATAATGGTGACATATGTCGTCGCCGAAACGTCATGTTTTAATATCGCTACTTTTTATCCTGAAATCTATTTATGAGTCATTCTTTGTGGAATATATTTGTATACATCGCTGGCTGGGGTGATACGGATCGTACTAATTGATTCAAGGCAGATTTAATTTGTTTTTCTTTTNCATCACTCCAAGTCCACGATATTTGAAAGAATATATTTTCGTCTCGGTGAATATTCACCAATGTTCACTTCGCCTTTGGCGAATAATTGTTAAGTAGTAATAGAATTGCAGTTACTATTAACTTCTATGACTTCCTCTCAAGTTGTCGAAGTGTCGCCTTCGCTAAACTGCTGAAATTTATTTGCTGATTAATTTTCTTTTACCAGCGTTTCCGCGGAAACAGAGACAGCAATTCTATCAAGTATCACGATATTCCTCTCCCCATTTTGACGTCAGAAATCATTATCTCACCCCAAACTTGGGCTGATAACGTTGGCTTGCGCTTTGAACTCTACGGCTGTGATCCAGGTAAAACTTTGAATTAAATTCCAACACCATTGTATTGTCAATTGACGAGAATGAAGTAAATAAACACAACTATAAAAGACTGCTTATCTTACACTACGTTGTCTCCTATTAGGATACTATTTTTTGGTATGGTGGATGTTTGATGGACGTTTTTTTACTAAAAATCATGCAAATTTAAATAGCCTGGAGCATAATGACACTAGAGATGACACACTGGTAGAGGTAGGGTCTTCTTTGTGTTTTAGCTTATTTTTATTGCGTTTTTTTTTTTCCATTTATTCCATCAATCGATGGATAAGTTATTCACGGTTAGACCAGTAAGTTGGTCTTTTAGTCCTTTCAGTTAATCAGCAACCTAGTGTGACGGTCTGCTAGTCAGCCAGTATGTAAATAACGTGTTAGACAGGTCAGTCGGTTGGTCAGTCAGTCAAGATTCTAAGTTGTTAATATTACACTTGGAAAAAAGACTTTACAGAACCTTACAAAGATATTCCGAAACTTCTGAAAGCGTGCCCGAAACCTATGATGATGTTGAATAATCTTCGAATATCTTCGAGTGATTTTCGGCAATCTTCGGATGATTTTAAGAAAATTTGGGAACTGCTCGGGTAATATTCGGAAATCGGTCATAATGTTCGGGTGAGCTCGGGCGATATTAGGAATTCTTCAGAGGTACTCGGGTAATGTTCGTAAGCGTTCGGAAACCTTCGAATTTTATGTCTCCGGCTATATAGTCATTCTATTTTGTACTTACATGAACGATGGTATTGAAAAGATAGTATCAGAAGACCACTATAGTTGCTACAGCTATTTACCATTCGTACTACAGACGAACCTCCCATGTAGGGACATTGTGGAGTATCCATTAGTGCCCCTTTACGTTAAATGTGTTCTTACTGTGCTCTTACTGTTGGTTTAGTTTCTATCTTGCTTACTGCCCCTTTGAAGCAGCACCCATGCAGAACTTCGACTGTGTATATTATATTTTTAAAACTTTTTCTACAGATTAAAAAATATCTACGAGTCTTCCCAGGATTCATGTCAGTCGAATTCATGACACTGAGGTAGTTACCGTATTGGCTTGCAGCGTATTCTAAATATGCAACTCACCCCATTGAGGAGAAACAACTTTCGATCCTTACGTAAAAACTGTCTTGTCAAATTAGCCATTTGGTTGTCGTGGAAATCGTAAGCATCCGCACCTATCTTTACAAATACATGTTCTTCATTGCTTAAAGATTGCATGTAAATCAATTTGATAATCTATTTCTTGTTTGCTTTGACTCGCTTGTGCGGGAGCGAGGCTTAAAACAGCTTGCTCTAACAACGCAGAAAACAAGCTTCTCTCTTTCGCAAGTTTCTCTGGCAGCCATCATTAAGAACTCTTCTTTGCCTCCCCGGTCATTTTTTGCCCCTAACGCACGCAATCATCTCCTAACGCACGCAATCATCCCCTAACGCACGCAATCATCCCCTAACGTTAGTCAACATCAACAGCAGCGATTAACGCCAGTCTACTTGAGCAACAACGTCATTTTTCGTTTGTCTTTGCAGCCCTCACAGATCTTCCTTTGGCTATACAGTCCTCACCGCCAGGAGTAGAAACGTACGACTTTGGCTATGTCCGTATTGTTTATCCACCTTTGGTTGTACAGATTGCTGGTAGTAGTGCTGCAATAAAGGGAAATGGCAGTGTTACGTTAGACGCATCAAGCTCTTATGATCCCAATACTCGACTTAACAACAGCAGTGGATTAAGCTTCAGCTGGTACTGCAAGAGAGTGGATGGCAACGTCACGAAGGAGGGCCCGAGTGGCTGCTATGGTCACCATTCAGGGAAGCTAAGCAGTGCCAAGCCGATTATTAAAGTGGATGTAGATAGCATGGAAGCAAATCAGACTTACCTCTTTGAATTGGTTATTACCAAAGATCGTAGGGTATCTAGAGCCACTCATACCCTGGCTGTGTTTCCTCCGTATGTTATTTCTTTAAGGTAAGAGGGACAAATTTACATCTGATAATAGGAAAGATTAAAAAGGTTATTTTCCTTGATAGACCTTAGGTTCTAGATAATAAATACGATGTCATAAAAAATATTATTACCATAGTTATATATAATAATTGATTCTGAAGTCCGCTATTTTTGAGACATTATTCATTCCCAACGGAGCTTCAGAATTTACGGAGACAAAAATTGATTGAATTGAAGATTAATTTAGAGAGCAGCATTAAGTGTACATGCTATGCATGATGGTCGAAAGAAGAGAGTGTGCAAATAAGCGCTGTAAGAGATCTTTGTTCTTGCTGATGCTGAACTTGCGCAATCAATTGACAACCTAGCACGTGGTAAGAAAAAAGTATGTCATGTTGAAAAACGGCTGAATCCAATCAATAGCCTTTGCAGCCAAGCCTCGACAAGAACAAGAACAAAACAATTACCTTACTCATTCATTCAACTCTCATTAAACGGCAAAATTCTGCTTCCATCAGGAATATACAAAGTGATCAAGCAATACTACTTTTCTCGTGGGAGGCTTATTTGTATGCCGCAAGTAATACTGGTTTAACGCCGCCCTTATACCAAGGCTGTGGAGCCCTTAATCTCTCGTAATATATTGCTCTTGTGTAATTTGTGTGGCACTAGTTATGTTCGGTCTCTCTGATGATTGTTGTTGATATTCTCTTTACTTTACCAACAGATGTACCATCAATTGCGGTAGCAAAGTCAGCACGAACAAGCGAATGATCATAGAGGCCATATGCAGTGGACCATACTGTCTCGAGGATATCAGTTACAGCTGGGCTTTGTACCAGTTTACCCTTTTAGGAAATGGCCCATCTTGGCTGAAAGTTCAAAACCTTGAAAGTTATACACTCACCAATTTGGACAGTACTAACATCGCCTTCTCTGGTTCAAAGAAACCACTGGAGCAAAAATCTAAGTACAAGGTCGTAGCATCTGTCCTCCTTCGTGAAGGAATTGTAGAATCAGGTGAAATGATATTTTACACAAATTCACCTCCAAGCAATCCTGACCACAAATTGGGGTGTGATATCCATCCTAAGAAAGGCCGTGTCCTTAAGACGGAGTTTAATGTCACGTGTTACGGTTGGGAAGATGAGGATCTGCCCCTTAGCTATCAGCTGAGGTGAGATTTCAGTGCAAGTTCCTGCAAAATACACCTCACAATTTTGAACAATTACAACAGTTTTCTCAGAAGATATAAGAACCAAAGGAATATATTCTGAGAATCATGTCCGCATTGTAAAATCTATTTTAAGAAAAACTCAGTTAGCATTTTTAAACTGACTATTTTACCACACAGTGCAGTAGAGGATGAGACGGTAATTGAATTAGCAAAACATCGCCTTTACACGAAATTTAAAACGAACAGTACTTACATGTCGAATCTAAAACATATATCTGTTTCTGTCAATAAGATATATGGTAAAGTTTTATAGAATTCTATTGAAATCAGTTCAGATTTACAGGAATCAAAGAAAATTCTACAAAATCTTCAAACCGTTTGCATTGACTGATCTTTACAATAAACGTTTGTGCGCAATTGACATTTATGTGGGGTTATTTCATCAAAGACGCTTGAATGACTTCTAAGGTGACGACCCTTGAAAGGAATGATATCATGATTTTGGATGCGATATGAAATTAATTTCTCAAATTCATTAATAATTTATCAAGTTTAAACAAAAGAAATCATGACCGTGACGGTGTTTGGATATCTCATCCTAATTAACATAGATTTTTACGACGTAATTCTCCGTTTTCTCCGTACCACATTTTCAAACACCTCGAAGTTTGTCAAAAATACTCCGCTACGCGTTGTATTTTCAACTCTCTTCTCAGTGTTTGCAAATCTGTTCAAACACGGTCTTCTGTGTTTGATATATTACATAACATATTCGAAGAGACAGGATTCTATGAAGTAAACGGCCGTGATAACTGACCATATATCAAATCTTCTTTTATTTACAGTTATCAGTCTGCCGAAGGTCTTGTCATAATTTCCAGTGGAAAGGAGTCAAGTTTTATCACTGGGCTTCCTCAAGGCAGCCAGTCTGAGAATTACGTCGTGAAGTTACAAGTGCTAATCTCTGATTCTTTAGGTGATGCATACACTGTCCAGGTCATCGTCCAGGTAAAAATTGAGTGCCATTAACGCACTTAAACATGCCCCCTGTAATAATATTTAATTAATGGTCACAATGCTTGATAATATGAAAAATGCAAATAAATAACTTTACAAGTACTATTCACCTTGGGTGAAGGGAACACCGTGGCTCAATTTGACGATAAAGGACTTGTTTCAACCGGCGAAAGCGCTGCATTACAAATTTACGGATTACGATATTATTCAAATCAGTGTGCACTACATGCTGATACCGCGCTATTATTTTGCTACGTATTTCCCAATACAATACGACACGTTACCGTACAGTACAGTACAGTACAGTACAATACGACAATGCAGTATAGTACAGTAGAGTGTAATGCAATGAAATGCAATACAATGTAATGCAATGCAATGTAATGCAGTGCAATACAATACAGTACAACACAGTACAATACAGTACAATACAGTACAATACAATGCAATACAATACAATACAATACAGCGCAGCGTAGCGCAGTTGCAGTGCACTACAGTGCAATGTAATTCAATGCTATGCAATGCAATGCAATGCAATGCAATACAATACTATTGTGATGAAATTGCTTCCACGAAACTTTTCCTGAAATCATTTCTGGCGATCCCAAGATCGACAGTTTTTTTATCCCGTGCTCGGTTAATAAGAGCTATGGTATGGCATGGTATGGTATGGTATGGTATGGTATGGTATGGTATGGTATGGTATGGTATGGTATGGTATGGTATGGTATGGTATGGTATGGTCTAAATTGTACTGTATTGTCTTCATCTGTCGGTCCATTTACAATTATGATGCAAACAACTACGGTATAGGAATCGCCGTCTTGAAAAATAAGCCCCGGGGAATTTGAATTCGGCCAATCAGAAACGGCGAAATAAAATAACTAACAAAACGTATCAACGGCTGAGCTTCTTATGTGTCGCTTTATACCGCAGACAAGTGTAACGACTATCACTTTAAGACTTAATGTTGTTAAACATCTTGATATTTAGGTCGAACCCCTCAGCAGCAGGGCGGAGGTGATAACTGCAGTCAGTAAGGCTATCTTTGGACCTAACAGCACAACTGCTAAACTTCTCAGATCTGGAAACCTGCAAAGTGCCACCTTGGAGTCCTATTTCACTCTCACAGCCACTGATGGCGTAGGGTTGTCTTCCGAGGAAACGAACTCAGTAANTGAATGAGGTTTTCATTTATTCGAAAGACATCACTCCAAGTCCACGATATTTGAAAGAATATATTTTCGTCTCGGTGAATATTCACCAATGTTCACTTCGCCTTTGGCGAATAATTGTTAAGTAGTAATAGAATTGCAGTTACTATTAACTTCTATGACTTCCTCTCAAGTTGTCGAAGTGTCGCCTTCGCTAAACTGCTGAAATTTATTTGCTGATTAATTTTCTTTTACCAGCGTTTCCGCGGAAACAGAGACAGCAATTCTATCAAGTATCACGATATTCCTCTCCCCATTTTGACGTCAGAAATCATTATCTCACCCCAAACTTGGGCTGATAACGTTGGCTTGCGCTTTGAACTCTACGGCTGTGATCCAGGTAAAACTTTGAATTAAATTCCAACACCATTGTATTGTCAATTGACGAGAATGAAGTAAATAAACACAACTATAAAAGACTGCTTATCTTACACTACGTTGTCTCCTATTAGGATACTATTTTTTGGTATGGTGGATGTTTGATGGACGTTTTTTTACTAAAAATCATGCAAATTTAAATAGCCTGGATCATAATGACACTAGAGATGACACACTGATAGAGGTAGGGTCTTCTTTGTGTTTTAGCTTATTTTTATTGCGTTTTTTTTTTCATTTATTCCAAGTTATTCACGGTTAGACCAGTAAGTTGGTCTTTTAGTCCTTTCAGTTAATCAGCAACCTAGTGTGACGGTCTGCTAGTCAGCCAGTATGTAAACAACGTGTTAGACAGGTCAGTCGGTTGGTCAGTCAGTCAAGATTCTAAGTTGTTAATATTACACTTGGAAAAAAGACTTTACAGAACCTTACAAAGATATTCCGAAACTTCTGAAAGCGTGCCCGAAACCTATGATGATGTTGAATAATCTTCGAATATCTTCGAGTGATTTTCGGCAATCTTCGGATGATTTTAAGAAAATTTGGGAACTGCTCGGGTAATATTCGGAAATCGGTCATAATGTTCGGGTGAGCTCGGGCGATATTAGGAATTCTTCAGAGGTACTCGGGTAATGTTCGTAAGCGTTCGGAAACCTTCGAATTTTATGTCTCCAGCTATATCGTCATTCTATTTTGTACTTAAATGAACGATGGTATTGAGAAGATAGTATCAGAAGATCACTATAGTTGCTACAGCTATTTACCATTCGTACTACAGACGAACCTCCCATGTAGGGACATTGTGGAGTATCCATTAGTGCCCCTTTATGGGAAATGCGTTCTTACTGTGCTCTTACTATTGGTTTAGTTTCTATCTTGCTTACTGCCCCTTTGAAGCAGCACCCATGCAGAACTTCGACTGTATATATTATATTTTTGAAACTTTTTCTACAGATTGAAAAATATCTACGAGTCTTCCCAGGATTCATGTCAGTCGAATTTATGACATTGAGGTAGTTACCGTATTGACTTGCAGCGTATTCTAAATATGCAACTCACCCCATTGAGGAGAAACAACTTCCGATCCTGATGTAAAAACTGTCTTGTCAAATTAACCATTTGGTTGTCATAGAAATCGTAAGCATCCGCACTTATCTTTACAAATACATGTTCTTCATTGCTTAAAGATTGCATGTAAAATCAATTTGATAATCTATTTCTTGTTTGCTTTGACTCGCTTGTGCGGGAGCGAGGCTTAAAACAGCTTGCTCTAACAATGCAGAAAACAAGCTTCTCTCTTTCGCAAGTTTCTCTGGCAGCCATCATTAAGAACTCTTCTTTGCCTCCCCGGTCATTTTTTGTCCCTAACGCACGCAATCATCTCCTAACGCACGTAATCATCCCCGAACGCACGCAATCATCCCCCAAAGCACGCAATCATACCATAACGCACGTGATAATCCCCTAACGTTAGTCAACATCAACAGCAACCATTAACGCCAGTCTACTTGAGTAACAACGTCATTTTTCGTTTGTCTTTGCAGCCCTCACAGATCTTCCTTTGTCTATACAGTCCTCACCGCCGAAATGAAAATTCTTTGTTTAAAATCCAGCGAGAAAAACTTGGTAGCGAAGCTGAACACAGAAAGAAGGAACCTTGATGTGTTGTTCAGATTTCCATGTAAGCAAACATATTTTTAGCATTTTTGCACAGAGAGTAAAGATTTTATATATAAGGCCCAACAAAGGAGGAACATGAAGCAAAAATTTACCAATCACAGAGCAGAACGAGAATAAGTCATTCCAGCGTTCGCTTTGAGATAAAAGAGCCTGTAATTGCCGTTGGTTGAGTTTTTATGAGGAGGGTGAATAGGTTTTCGGATCGACAGATTTGGTCTTAAAAAGCGCACGGATTGTGGATTTTTGCGATAAATCGAGCGGATTCGCGGATTTTGAAATCACAGTGGATCGTAGATCAGCTGTGAATTTTGGGGCGGATTCCGGATTGTGCCTTTCTTGATGTTTGGATCTTGGGTACTTAACGAAATTTGGATCATAAATCCTCCTTCAGCCTTGGTCGGGATGTTAACGAGTTCATTCAAATTATTTCTTTTTTCGAACAGATCTCATTTAAACTCAGGCGTGAGACTGTTATTGGAATTGTACTGTGTTATAGTGATCAAGCATGTTGCCTTCTTTACTATTTGTGCGAAATTAACAATAGCATTCAAATTTACCAGTTTACCTTTGAACTTCTGATTCCGAATGTGTTTGTGGTGTCAGATTTGAACAAAAATATTGGTGGATCGACGGATTTGGCGAAATAAAAGGCACGGATCAGCGGATTTGCATACCCATATTCACCCCTCTCTTTTATTGTCCACTACAGTTTAAATCCACCACTACCACAAAAACATTTCACCATCAAGTTCACTGTTTTCTTCGGCTTGAAATTCCTCCTGGCCCTGACTCTTTAATGCTGTAAAATTATGTTTTAAGTCGTTAATCTTTCTCCAAATTATTCAGCCATAGTGATATGATCTTACTACAGTTATTTGAAAAAAACTTCAATTCCCTTAGTAAATCTCGTATTTACTTTAACGTTACCAGTAAAATGCCAGTGCTTCTATCCGCAAGTTAACATCTCTATAAAGAAAACACTCAAGGAAGCTACTGTACTATACACCACTCAAAACATAACTATTTACGCTGAAACAAGTCAGGGAAACTGTGAAGAGTCCTTGAACTTCAAATGGGAAATTGCGAAAGCAAGTGATAAGTCAAGCGAGTTTGGGCGCTTTGTTGTCCATGGTGATGCATTTAACAACAAAACAGGAAAACTGCAATTAAAAGGGAGAGAGTTCGACGAGGGTTACCTGTACATCAGATGCGTTGCATTCATCAAAACTCGGTCAGGCGATGATGGAGTAGAAACGTACGACTTTGGCTATGTCCGTATTGTTTATCCACCTTTGGTTGTACAGATTGCTGGTAGTAGTGCTGCAATAAAGGGAAATGGCAGTGTTACGTTAGACGCATCAAGCTCTTATGATCCCAATACTCGACTTAACAACAGCAGTGGATTAAGCTTCAGCTGGTACTGCAAGAGAGTGGATGGCAACGTCACGAAGGAGGGCCCGAGTGGCTGCTATGGTCACCATTCAGGGAAGCTAAGCAGTGCCAAGCCGATTATTAAAGTGGATGTGGATAGCATGGACGCAAATCAGACTTACCTCTTTGAATTGGTTATTACCAAGGATCGTAGGGTATCTAGAGCCACTCATACCCTAGCTGTGTTTCCTCCGTATGTTATTTCTTTAAGGTAAGAGGGACAAATTTACATCTGATAATAGGAAAGATTAAAAAAGGTTATTCTCCTTGATAGACCTTAGGTTCTAGATAATAAATAGAGGTAATAAAAAAAATTATTGTTTGCGGTTTGACTAAAACCATACTTTAATTGATATTCTGAAGTCCGCTATTTTTGAGACATGATTCATTCCCAAGAGAGCTTCAGAATTCACGGAGACAAAAATGGATTGAATTGAAGATTAATTTAGAAAGCAACATTAAGTATACATGCTATGCACGATGGTCGAAAGAAGAGAGTGTGCAAATAAGCGCTGTAAGAGATCTTTGTTCTTGCTGATGCTGAACTTGCGCAATCAATTGACAACCTAGCACGTGGTAAGAAAAAAGTATGTCATGTTGAAAAACGGCTGAATCCAATCAATAGCCTTTGCAGCCCAGCCTCCACAAGAACAGGAACAGAACAATTTCCTTATTCATTCATTCAACTCTCATTACACGGCAAAATTCTGCTTCCATCAGGAATATACAAAGTGATCAAGCAATACCTATACTTTTCTCGTACGTGGGAGGCTTCTTTGTATGTCGCAAGTAATACTGGTTTAACGCCGCCCTTATTCCAAGGCTGTGGAGCCCTTAATCTCTCGTAATATATTGCTCTTGTGTAATTTGTGTGGCACTAATTATGTTCGGTCTCTCTGATGATTGTTGTTCATATTCTCTTTACTTTACCAACAGATGTACCATTAATTGCGGTAGCAAAGTCAGCACGAACAAGCGAATGATCATAGAGACCATATGCAGTGGACCATACTGTCTCGAGGATATCAGTTACAGCTGGGCTTTGTACCAGTTTACCCTTTTAGGAAATGGCCCATCTTGGCTGAAAGTTCAAAACCTTGAAAGTTATACACTCACCAATTTGGACAGTACTAACATCGTCTTCTCTGGTTCAAAGAAACCACTGGAGCAAAAATCTAAGTACAAGGTCGTAGCATCTGTTCTCCTTCGTGAAGGAATTGTAGAATCAGGTGAAATGATATTTGACACAAATTCACCCCCAAGTAATCCTGACCACAAATTGGGGTGTGATGTCCATCCTAAGAAAGGCCGTGTCCTTAAGACGGAGTTTAATGTCACGTGTTACGGTTGGGAAGATGAGGATCTGCCCCTTAGCTATCAGCTGAGGTGAGATTTCAGTGCAAGTTCCTGCAAAATACACCTCACAATTTTGAACAATTACAACAGTTTTCTCAGAAGATATAAGAACCAAAGGAATATATTCTGAGAATCATGTCCGCATTGTAAAATCTATTTTAAGAAAAACTCAGTTAGCATTTTTAAACTATTTTACCACACAGTGCAGTAGAGGATGAGACGGTAATTTATTTTTTAACTATTGAATTAGCAAAACATCGCCTTTACACGAAATTTAAAACGAACAGTACTTACATATCGAATCTAAAACATCTATCGGTTTCTGTCAATAAGATATATGGTAAAGTTTTATTGAATTCTATTGAAATCAGTTCAGATGTACAGGAATCAAAGAAAATTCTACAAAATCTTCAAACCGTTTGCATTGACTGATATTTACAATAAACGTTTGTGCGCAATTGACATTTATGTGGGGTTATTTCATCAAAGACGCTTGAATGACTTCTAAGGTGACGACCCTTGAAAGGAATGATATCATGATTTTGGATGCGATATGAAATTAATTTCTCAAATTCATTAATAATTTATCAAGTTTAAACAAAAGAAATCATGACCGTGACGGTGTTTGGATATCTCATCCTAATTAACATAGATTTTTACGACGTAATTCTCCGTTTTCTCCGTACCNTATCTGTTTCTGTCAATAAGATATATGGTAAAGTTTTATAGAATTCTATTGAAATCAGTTCAGATTTACAGGAATCAAAGAAAATTCTACAAAATCTTCAAACCGTTTGCATTGACTGATCTTTACAATAAACGTTTGTGCGCAATTGACATTTATATGGGGTTATTTCATCAAAGACGCTTGAATGACTTCTAAGGTGACGACCCTTGAAAGGAATGATATCATGATTTTGGATGCGATATGAAATTAATTTCTCAAATTCATTAATAATTTATCAAGTTTAAACAAAAGAAATCATGACCGTGACGGTGTTTGGATATCTCATCCTAATTAACATAGATTTTTACGACGTAATTCTCCGTTTTCTCCGTACCACATTTTCAAACACCTCGAAGTTTGTCAAAAATACTCCGCTACGCGTTGTATTTTCAACTCTCTTCTCAGTGTTTGCAAATCTGTTCAAACACGGTCTTCTGTGTTTGATATATTACATAACATATTCGAAGAGACAGGATTCTATGAAGTAAACGGCCGTGATAACTGACCATATATCAAATCTTCTTTTATTTACAGTTATCAGTCTACCGAAGGTCTTGTCATAATTTCCAGTGGAAAGGAGTCAAGTTTTATCACTGGGCTTCCTCAAGGCAACCAGTCTGAGAATTACGTCGTGAAGCTACAGGCGCTAATCTCTGATTCTTTAGGTGATGCATACACTGTCCAGGTCATCGTCCAGGTAAAAATTGAGTGCCATTAACGCACTTAAACATGCCCTCTGTAATAATATTTAATTAATGGTCACAATGCTTGATAATATGAAAAATGCAAATAAATAACTTTACAAGTACTATTCACCTTGGGTGAAGGGAACACCGTGGCTCAATTTGACGATAAANTGCATACACTGTCCAGGTCATCGTCCAGGTAAAAATTGAGTGCCATTAACGCACTTAAACATGCCCCCTGTAATAATATTTAATTAATGGTCACAATGCTTGATAATATGGAAAATGCAAATAAATAACTTTACAAGTACTATTTACCTTGGGTGAAGGGAACACCGTGGCTCAATTTGACGATAAAGGACTTGTTTCAACCGGCGAAAGCGCTACATTACAAATTTACGGATTACGATATTATTCAAATCAGTGTGCACTACATGCTGATACCGCGCTATTGTTTTGCTAAGTATTTCCCAATACAATACCACACGTTACCGTACAGTACAGTACAGTACAGTACAATAATACAATGCAGTATAGTACAGTGCAGTGCAATGCAATGAAATGCAATACAATGTAATGCAATGCAATGTAATGCAGTGCAATACAATACAGTACAATACAA